CGGAAAACGGGAAACGAGCGCATGCTGCGTCGCCATAGTGACAAGTCATTGAAACAACCGAGCAGCGGCGCAAACATTGCCAATCCGCGCGTAATCCGGCGCGATTTGCTGCGCCTTAGCGCGGGATTAGCGAGTCAGTACGGTTGGCAAACAGGAAATTGCGCGGTTAAGGCTGCAGGATTGACTGCGGGCCAACAAATAAAACGCGTGGATTATCAGGAAGTTTTTATTTTCGGGTTTAAAACGAGAAAATTTCTCTAAAAAAAACTCTACAGTTGGTGCTGTTGGCCGTTCGTAGTCTGCAGTTGCCGCAGTTCGAAAAATAAACATACGCGCGCGCGAATTTTTCAACTGATAAACCCGGCGTTGCATGAAGAAATTTTCTCGTTTAAGCAAACAACAAGGGAAAATGCCGCAGTTACTCGAAACGCGGACGCAAATCGATGTCAATTTGGAACGCAGCAGGTGGGCTTTTCGGCGAATCCGGGTCGATAAACCGCAACCTACGCTTGTGGCGGCATACACCCGGAAAACAATCCGAGGCCAAAAGGCTGTGTTCGCAACTTGCCGTTATTGGGCCCCTAAAGCCGCAAAATCGACCAAAACTTGCCCCTTAATATCAAAAAGCTACGTTCCCGACTGGTCTCTATCGGCTCTGGCCCATCAATAAGGAGAATTGCTGTTTCCACGTCAACGTGGCAACATGCATTACGGCGCACGCCCCTACGCGTCAACATGGCGCCTGGCCGTTCCGTCATGGACATTTGGCGAAGTTTAGCAGTGGAAAATAGCGTTTTCACCAAAAAAGTCACTAAGAAAAAGCGCTGGAAAACGCATAAACTACAACATGTGCAGTGAACTAATCAACTTTGAACGAAAAAGACGCCCGTTAGGGCCCCCGATCGACTCGTTCATGCGTTCTTTATGTTCTTTAGGGCAAACCAAGGACAACCGAACAAATCACTCACGGGGGCCCCAAAGGGGCACCTGTCCACAAAAGTCTGGCGAAGCCCCCACAGTTTCATTGATGTTCTAACCTTGCAAACTGGCTGGCGGGGGGCCTGCAGGCGGCGCGGCTTCACCATTTCCTCCTGCCGGCGATCGATCGCGGACTTTCGTTCACCAACGCGTCCAGCCACCACAACTATAAACAAAAAACACTGCTTTAATGGAAAAACCCATGATTTTCCGGGGAAAAAGCACCGAAAACACGCGGAAAACTGCATATGGCAACACAAACGACGCTTCGACTCAAAACAAAAGACGAGCGATTGGGGGTGGGGAGCGGACCGTGCAGTAAAGCCGGCGGCTCCGCCCGGCTATTTCGGGCAAAGCTGGCGCCCCCGGGGCTGTGCCCCGGCGATAGTTGTGGGGGGGCAAGGCCTGGCGCCTAGGGGGTCCCTGAAGGGGCCCCAGCCCGCAAAGCTGCCCGAATTAAGGCGTAATTCGGAAATTTGGGCTGGGCAGCGCCATCTGGGCGAGGCCATGGAAGTACTGGAGCGGAGCGTGAAGGTAAAGCCGGCGGCTCCGCCCGGCTGCTTTGGACAGGCAGGGGNGGGGGGCCGGCCCCCCAGGGAGCGCTTTTTGCGAGTAGTTGGGGAGGGTGGCTGGCGCCCCAGGGGGGCCGCACGGCCCCCTCACTACTCACAGAGGGATAATCGGGGGGTTTTCCGTGCGCAGCCCATGGCGCCATCTCGGGCCGGCTGGCGCTAGCGCAGAGGGGGGTGGTGGGCGGCGTTGCCGCCGCGCGGCATTGCCAATAGCAGCAAAACGTCCCAAATTTATCAATATTTATTAACCGTGGCGACTTCGGCGGGCTTGTGGCCCTTCAGCATCAGCTGGATCTCGTCCAGCGTCTTCCCCTTGGTTTCGGGCACGAAAAAGTGCACAAACCCAGTGGTGCACAGGCTGCTGACGGCGAACAGGTAGAAGGGCGCGTGCATGCCAAACGTGCGAAAGAGGGCGCTGTAGACGAAAATCGAGATGATCGACGCCAGCACGTAGATGACGTCGGCGATGGTCATCCCGATCGCCTTGATGGTGGTGGGGAAGATCTCGGCCGTCACCACGATCGGCACCAATCCGAGGCCGATCTTGAAGGTGGCCGCGTAGACCATCACGCCCCCTGCCGGGATCCAGCTGACCGCCACCACGTCATAGTGCAGGTTCTTCAAGTGGAAATAGATGGCGATGACGACGAGCACGAGCCCGGTGAGGAGGCTGGAGAGCTCGAGCAGCACCTTCCTGCCAAACTTGTCAATGACGGCCGACGCGATCGTGGCGGCGCCCAGCATGATGACGGCGAACACGATGGCGGCGGTCGATGTGGGCAAGTAGGCCGAGCCGGCCTCATTCAGGATCACGTGCAGGTTCATGAAGATCACACTGATGCCGACGAAGTGCTGCATCCCGTTGAGGATCAGCATGATCAGCAGCGCCTTGCGGTTGCTGTCGATCAGCAGCAGGTCCTGCAGCCGCCCCGTCTCCAGCCGCTGGCGGCGCACCGCCTCCTGGATCTCCAGCATCTCGGCGTCCACGGGGGCGGCGCCGCCCCTCAGCCGCTTGAGACTGCGGCGCGCCTCCTCGTCCCGCCCCACATACACCAGATAGTAGGGCGACTCGGGCATGAGCGGAAACAGGCACACCTGGCAGGCGGTCAGCCCGATCCCGATGATCGGCACCCACGCGTAGGGGGCGAGCGCCCCCACCGTGTAGACCAGCAGCATCCCCACCAGCATCATCAGGTAGATCATGGCCGACAGAAAGCCGCGGATGCGATGGTCGGCGATCTCGGCAATGTACATGGGGGCGGCGACGAAGCACATGTCGCCCGCCATGCCGCTGAAGAAGCGGGCGGCGAACACCGCCGCCAGGCTGCTGGTGGCGAGCAGCGCCGTCCAGCAGGCGCAGCCAATCAGCGCCGACAGGATCATGCACTTGCGCCGCCCCAGGCGGTTCACGCCCAGGATGGTGAACGGGAGGCCGGTGACCGCCCCCATCAGCACGATCGTCTCCAGCCAATCGGTGGCGGCGGCGCTCACGTCGGGGATGTGGGAGGCGTTGCTCTGCAGGTAGGGGATCATGGGGGACGTCCAGCCGTACGTCATCCCGTCGGAGACGGCCATCTGGGTGCCTACAAGCAGGGGGCGCCTTCAGTCGCTGGGCGCCTCTGGGGCCTACGCCCCCCTCCACTACTTACCGAGCAACGTGGCCACCACTTGGGGCAGCACCTGCTTCCACGTGATCGGTTCCATCGACTGCCGCCTGGAACCTACCGGTTTTGCTGTTTTGCACCACGATCTAATCGCTGCACAAACTATGGGCTTCTAATCAAAGCTGCTTGTGCGAATAGGAAAAACAATTGATTAACACTTATTTGCCTTTGCGTGTTAATTGGCCTGTTGGTGGCGTGTGCAGTTGGCATTGGCTGAGTCCTTCGTCTACCACTGTGGGCCCCGGGGCCCCACTGGCAGACGAAATGGCGAATGCGCCCCATGCAAAAACTCGCCTGGCGGGGCAAAACACAACTGCCTCAACTAGTCAACAGTTCCGACCTTTCAACCACCACCCCCCTCTGGCCAGTATGGTGGATGCGCCCACAAAAGAAACTCAACCAACAATTTGATGACCAGAACCGTGCAGGCTCACGCTTTTTATGGTCACGATTCGGTCACGCCTGCCCGAGCTGATTAGAGAATTGCACGCTTTTGCGGGGATTAAGGGGCCATTGTGGCGCGGCTTACGGGGCTCCAGAGGCTTAAGGGGGCTTCGCAGCCGCTGGACTCGGCACCGATGCCTAATCCCCCCATAAATACCTCGATTGCATGATTGCCGGCCGATTTTTGCGCGATGCGTTTTGATCGGGTCCTTCTGGTACCACTTTCACATCCCAATGAAACCTTAGAGGATGGTTCTGCGGCCTTTTTCGGCGATTTTTCGGCCGGTGAACATTCAACCTCCAGGGGAGCCCCAACGGGGGCGACCGCCGGGTTCCCCACGGTACCACCCGAGAGCACAAAGCCTCCGCTATGAACCCTTGGGAACTGGGTTGTTTGGTTCCCGATGGGGGATTTTTGGGGAATTTTTGAATGCGCCGATGCATTTTCCACCTCTTCTGCAAGCGAACATTCAACGTTCAGTGGCGTGCAAACGGGGGCCGCCACAAAGCACCCAGTGGTACCACTTCAAAGGGCAACGCCTACTCTATAAACCGTTGGAAGATCCTTCTCGGGGCCGTAAAGGGCGAATTTTGGCGAATTTTTTAACTCGCCGCCCACATTTTCACGTTTTGAGCTTGCGCCCCTCCAAACAACCGTAGCCCCCAACTGGGGCAACCCGGAGGGTTCCTTTTGGCACCACCTTAAAGGGGAAGCCTCACTCTGTCAACTCTATGAGAACCGCTCCTCCACCCTTAAAGGGCAATTTTCGGCGAATTTTTAAACTCGCCGCCCGCATTTTCACGTTTTGAACTTGCGCTCTTCCAAACCCCCGTAGCCCCAAACTGCGGCAAGAAGGAGGGTTCCTTTTGGCACCACCATAAGGGGGAAGGCCCACACTTTAAATCTCGAGAGAACCGGTGCCCCACCCTTAAAGGGCGATTTTCGGCGAATTTTTAAACCCGCCGACCAAATTTTTACGTTTTGAGCTTGCGCCCCTCCAAACCCCCTAGCCCCCAACTGGGGCAACCTAGAAGCTTCCTTTTGGCACCACCTTAAGGGCAAAGCCCCACT